TTAAGGGGCTAAAAAGGACTCTGTCGTTTTAGTTTTTTTTTTTGGGTTCCATGAGGATTTTCGATGTAACCTCAGCCAAAAGTCGTTTTAAAATGTGCCAAGGACACCGGGCATGAGCTGAAGGAATGAAAGTAGGAAAACGTGTTAAGGACTCACCGCACACGAGTGAAAGTACCGAGGATAAACAAAGCCTTAGCTCAGTGGGTAGAGCACTGGTGTCGAATGCGCATTGTGGTATAAGGGTGCAGGTTCAAATCTTCGAACCTGCGCCCTGTGCATTCGGCCAGCAGGCGTCGACCGACGCGTGTGTGTACATCGGGCCACGGAAGAGGTTTGACGCTAGAAACCTGGCCACGTGTAGGGGTTTCAAGATACCGCTCGAAACTGTGGGATCCAACCATTGTGGCTGCCACATTGGAGGCTGCTCCCCTAAGCGTGCCACACAACATTGCTCCATGTGGGTTGTTGGAGAGCATCATGCCCCCTCCTGGGTTGTGCGGGGTCATGGAGGGATGGGGTGGGGGGGGTGGACTCAGTTGGGAAGAGCAGGGCAGGGGAGCCAGAGTTCACTATTCCCATGGCAGGCCAACGACACCCCCCTCAGTGACAGGTGACAGGGTGTTTGATCGCCTCCCAGCAGGTCACCTTGGGGCCCCCTGGAACCTGAATCGCGGCATAGCGCACGCAGTTGCCGGCGTTTGAGAAGCGCCGGTCTCAATTGATACTTGCGCGGGTGTGTGTGTGTGGTCGAGGTTGAGCATTCCTTCCTTGAGTGTCCCTGTATGTGGTGGGTCTACTGTGCCGACATGGAGGGATGAACACGGTGCATCCAACCCCTGGCCGGACATCCGTGCCCTGTACTGTCCTCAACGCCCCTCACGAAGTACCTCAGATGGAACGAACCAAGTAATAACTGAGCATTCCCTCGGGTGGGGCAGCAACATCCCCCTGATGAGGCCAATCGGCTGGCGGTGGCCAAATCTAGTAGGAGATGCCATTTTGTATTTTTTGTGAACTTGTTCTCCGCGTTTGATGTCTATTTTTCGCTTAGGAATTACTCAGTCGCTGAGTTTTCATCTGAGTCTCCTGAATCTTTTAAATTCCTGCTTTTCCTAGTTGGAAATTCTTCAATGGTTTGGTGCTGGAGGCAGGAGGTTGTGGTGGTTGTGATGGTGGGAGACGATGCGCCCTGCGGCGAAGGGGCTAGGTTGTAGGGTTGAAATAGGGTACAGCAGCGGTGGAGATGGTGGCTTCATCGCGGTAAGACTTGCTGGAGTAGGGCTGAGAAGGATTTTTGTGGGATATTTGCAACCAGTGCCTGATCCGAGGTTTGGGGTTGTTTTCTTGTGTAGATTGCACAGTTGTCATTCTTAGCCTAAGCCGGTTAATGGGCCCGAAATTTCGAAGAATTTTCCATAAATTTCTCAAAAAAGAAGAAAATTGTTCTAAGGCTTGGTGCTGGTGCCATGCGGTTGTGGTGGTTGTGATGGAGAGAACGCGCGCTCTGCGGCGAAGGGGCTAGCCTCCAGGGTTGGAATAGGGTATATCAGCGGTTGAGATGATAGCTTCATCGCGGTAAGACTTACCGAAGTAGGGCTGAGAAGGTTTTTTTTGTGGGATATCTGCAACTAGTGCCTGGAGGATGGATGAACATATCTACAACTATGGCGCTGATTGGTGGCTTGACTTGTATCTGCTGTAGTACTGAGTCCGGGGGGTTTGCGAATAGACGAGGCCAGAACGACGCTGGTCGGTGTTGGGGCTTGGTCGCGCTGCTCTGTAATGAGACTTGGTAGAGAGATCTGGGGAGTTGTTGAGGGTGGAAGGCACTCTAGTATCTTTTGGTGAGCTGGTGACTAGTCGACGCTGGCCGGAGCCGGGGCGGGTCGCGTTGCCCTGTGACCTAGCAGGTGGGGGGTTTCTAAGGTGGGTCCTGCCACTCTGTAACCTAGCAGTTGGGGGCGTGAGGCTTGGTAGAGATTGGGCATCAGGGTATAGGGGTGAGGTAGGTAGGGTTGGGCCGCTGAAAACCACCAAGGCAGGTGTTTTTTTCGATCTGAGTTCTTCTTTGAGCCAAGGCTCGAAAACAAAAGGGCCCTTTGAATTTAGTACTGCATAGATCTGTTTTCTTCCATTAGCCCCTTCGAGACTGTTTCATTAGTACTTGGTGCAAGTTGTTCTCAAAGTTGTCTCAGCCGAAGCCGGTTAATGCCCCCCGTGCTTAAATACTTGTGTATTTTTACATGGGATTCTGGGCCCGGTTCCCAGCACGTGCTTCTCCCCACGAACAGATTGGAGCATTTTGTCCCCCCCCCCCAACAAAAAAAAAAAAAAAAAAAAAAGTTTCCTTGCACATAAGTGTTCTCATAATCACCGACATCATCATCATCATCAGCAGCAGCAGCATCATCATCATCAGTTTGTAATCATAGGGGCGGGGCTGTTGGTGCGGCTCTTTAGTATGATCAGCATCATCATTCTGTCTTCATTCTCATCACTACCATCATCATCATCCTCATCAGTTTGTCGTCATTAGATGTTTGCTCTCAGGGCACTGTTTGCCGTTCACATCAGCAGGTGAGTTGATCGTCACCATCATCCTCCTCCTCATCATTTTCAGGGTGTTGTTCGTTGTCATCAGCAAAATCCAAAAAAATCTCATTTATCTTTCTCCATCATAATTTTTAGAAATTTTTGATTCTTTCGTTCATATCTTAGGAATCCTATTTCCTAAATTCCTTGTTTTTTCCTTTTCTTCACTTCGGCTGGATCGGATCGTTCCCGGAGGGCTAAATGGTAGGAAAGGGTTGGGGGGAGCTCTATCTTGCAGGGGCATCACAAGGCGGGGGGTGAATGTCTCAAAGAGGGTAGGGGCGGACTACGGGGGTGCCGTACGCTGGGGCAGGGGCTGGTGCGTGGGTCAACATCAGACCTTGCGGAGGGAGAAATGGGCAAGGGGTGGGGGGGCATGCTTTAGGTGGGGACTGCGTGATCCTGGGGAAAGGGGGGTAGAGGGTTGGTCCTGTATTGGGGCCGAGGGAGAGTGGGTGACTCACCTCGGCGGAGGCAGTGTAGGGCTGAGGGGGGAGGGGAAGGGGGAGGGAGGGGCGATCTTTCTCGAACAAGTCTATCATCCAGTTTACTATTTTGGTCTTTCCATTTGTTTGCCTCTCGAGGAGGATGTAGGAATAGGTGCTATCTGGCAAGTCATATGTGATCTTGCGACCGGTGGTTGAAAATTCGGTGGCCCTCGAAGACCGATGTTGGAGCAACGCTGGCCGGAGCCAGAGCCAGGTGGCGCAACTCTGTGACCTAGCTTAGTGGGGGCGTGAGGCCTGGTAGAGAGCTCTAGAGGGTTGTTTGCGGGGGCAGCCTTAGTGGTCATCGGGGGTCGTAACTGGAGTAATGTTGGCCGGTGCTGGAGTAAGGTGGTGCAACTCTATAACCTAACCTGATGGGAGCATGAGGCCTGGAAGAACTTCGGTTCGTGCTGAAAACAACCATGTTGGTGGTAATCGTAAGTGGATTGAATAGGTTTCACCTATCTGATTCCTGGTTGGGAGGCTTTTCAACACACATATTCTAGTGACTAAGTAGAGTCTGAATAGTGGAATATATATATATATATATATACACACAGGGTCACCAGCCCGTACGTACGGAGGTCCCCGGGCAGACCTCCGTACGTACGGGCGTTCGGGGACCAGTACGGGGTCCGAACTGACGGAGTCCCATGATACATCTTTAATAGCTCAATGAAAAAAAAGTGACGCCCTTGTGCTGGAAACCGGGTCCAGCGTCCCATATCAAAATCATCTCTTCCTTGCCTATCCTGCAACTGCAACAGAAAAATCGTCGTTTTTTTTTTTTGCGTTGATCGTGGGTCGTTGACCCCTTTGTACTGTTTAAAAACTGTTTTCAAACTGTTTTTCCTGGTACATGCACCGTGGTCAACAGGAAGTGACCGAAGCCAACGTCGGTGAGTTATGTTGTCCACATGAAGTGACAGGATAAACTATTGAACTTTGTGTTGGTAAACAGTTCTTAATCTGTTTAAAATCTGTTGAAGTGCGTAGGGCACGTCGAAATGTGTGCTGGTAATCAGTTGTTAAACAACTGAACACAAGACTTCATGTACGATATGAAATTCGAATCGTGATGGAAATGTGATGGAAATGTGATGAATTGTGTTGGAAATATGATGGTGTTGTGTTTGGAATGATTCGATTAAGGAACTCCGTGACTCGGTCATTGTCGAAAATACGTAGTGTTCGTTGGAGATCTTGATTGCACTGCTTGGTTAAGGATAGAATACGATCTTTTACGACTGACCCAGTCAAAAAAGATCATATTCCATTCTCAACCAAACAGTGAAATCAAGATCCCCAATAAACGTTAAAGCTTCGACAATAACCGAGTCACGGAGTTCCCGCCTTTATTGGTGAACCTTTATACAAATCCAAAATTGCACTATTACGACTAAGTCAGACCTTCCCCCGCCCCCACCACCACCAGCAGACACACACGCACACGCAAACACAAACACACTGAGGGCTTAGTCACACTCTCGTACACTTTGTTGAAGTGAACATCATGTATACATGCGAGCTGTGACAAATTACAACAAGTGAGGATGAAGGGTTATACCGCAATGTTCGCTCTGAGTAAAAGAAGCAGACAATTAGTTCTATGTCCTTAAATATTAGTTGATGTAAAATTTATCCATAAATACAGTGTCTTTGTCTCTCATTTCATCTCTCTCTCTCTCTCTCTCTCTCTCTCTCTCTCTCTCTCTCTCTCTCTCTCTCTCTCTCTCGCTCTCTCTCTCTCTCTCTCTCCCTCTCCACAGATAAGCGACTCTTGCTCTGTTTTCGTGAATGTGACAATTGGACCCTTCCAGTCACGTGGTTCCGCACTGGGGCCCATATAATCACATCAACTTGATTGCATCGCAGTTCGCGATTGTTTCTATCCCATCGACACTAACTCCTTTTCTCTGCAGTTGACCCTGCTATTTGTTCACTTCTATTTTTATTGTCTCTCTCTCTCTCTCTCTCTCTCTCTCTCTCTCTCTCTCTCTAGTGAGTCTCGCTTTGTTTCCCGCTCCCAACTGTAGGGCACTTCCAGTCGCATTGTCCTGTTGAGGGGGCCACATAATGACATTAAGGCATCGCTGTCATAAGAAGTGTCACCCACGACGCACCGCTGCCTACCACTGCCACAGTAACTCGGTTACATTACACGACACCCGTGCTAAATGCTTTAGCTTCACACTTCGAAACTCTCTCTCTTTTTTTTTTTTTTTTTT